GGGGGGGGGGGGGGGGAAACGGGCGGGGAGAGGAGGAGAAGGCCGCGGCGGAGGCAGGTGAGAGGAGGAAGGAAGCGACGCCGCGGCGGGCACAGCAGCTCAGGCGGCGGCCCGGTTCCTGGGAGTGTCGGTGCGGCGTGGTGGTTGGGGCGGATCCCGCGGGGCCCGGGCGGGGGAAGGAGTCACCGGCCCGGCCATGGCGGACAACGAGAAACTGGACAACCAACGGCTCAAGAATTTCAAGAACAAAGGCCGCGACTTGGAGGTAAACTCGGGGGTGCCGGAGGGGTGGGGGCCGTGGGCCTCGGGTCGATCTACGCCGGTACTCGGAGTGTGGCGAGTAGGGGCGGGAGCCGCCGCCGGGCCGCGGGGGAATGGCGCTGGGGGCCGGCCCGTCCGTGACGCCTGTGCTAACGCGCCGGGAAGTTTGTGTCGGGCCTGGTCCGCCTCCGCCGGGGAGCAAGGTGCCGGGGTGTTTGGGGTTAGGGGAGGCGTAAGATGGGCTGCATTCCCTTTAGGAGTGTGTGTTCTAGGGCAGAGGTGTGCGGGGGCGTGGGTGTGCCGCGCTGCCAGGGCCGGGCTGCGGCCCCCATCCCGGTAGCGGCAGAGATTCCGGCTCTCGCTCCCGCACCGACGTCGGGCGCCGCGGGCAGGAGGGCGGTGGGAGGTGGAGGGGGGGACTAGCGTGTGGCGACCGAGTGGGTCTCGGAACTTCCTCAGTGAGGCCCGAGTCGTCTCCACTTAAAGGCATTTTCTCTGGTCTTCCCGACTCCCGCTTTACCCCTGCCTCCCCCCAGTATCCAAACTACAGGAGTCAACTTCTCCGTTGAAAAAAAACACCCCCGGCGTGAGAGGCCATCCTGGTGATGCTAACAGTGCCTTCCAGCGGCCTGTGTTTTACTGTGGATATAGCTGATTCAAGATGTGGCTCCCGGTGTGCCCTCCTCCAGGCAAAGGATACCCCGTATTTCAGCTTGTTCACAAATCTCTTTACCCCCTTCTGAGAGACCACCAGCTGCATTCTTACATATAGAGTCCAAAGGGTTATACAAAGCTGTCATCCTCTAGTCTGCAGTATCCTTTCCCTCCACCTGCCGGTGGTGGTGGTAGCGGGGGATGGGGTGGGCCCTGGAGTGGCACCATCACGTTTTATTATTTGAAAAGGGTGAAAAGCAACCTTCATTATCTTAAGTAACAGCTGCCCCTGAGGTTTTTAGGCTACATAAGGTGTGTGGGTTAAGCACACACCCACATCACAGATTTTTAATAGAAGACTTCTTCCCTTCAGGTTTAGGCGTCTAGGTAAATAGGGGTTTTTGTTTGTTTTTGTTTTCCTTTCTGCATCTGAATCAGGAGGTTAGCTTTTAAGAGAAAGTGGTCAAGTAGTACTTTTTATGTTGTTTCTTTGTACTTTTTTATACTGAGATCTTCAAATTCCCATCATCTGTTTCTGAACTTTGAGCATTTGCTTGACTGAGATAGTAACTGTCTTTTGGACTTTCCACAAAGCCATTTACTTTCCAAGGCAGTTAGTGCTGTCTTAGTGGGTTTCCTAGTTTGAGGATGTATTTCCTAGTTGAAGTGAAATTTCAGCATCTTTATTGAGATAATTCATATGCTGTAGAAATTGCCATTTAAATGTAGAACTTATGACTTTTATTAAGTTTACCTAGTTGTGTAATGATGTGATTAAACATTTTTTTGACCAGTATTAATATTTAAAATGAGGGAAAAAATCACAAATTACAAAAGCTAAAACCATAAATACCACAAAGTTACAAACATCCAGAGAAATAGCAGTTAAATGCTTGACAATCCTTCTGATCCTTTTCCCCCTCTACATTTCTGGCTGCGCTTTTTTTTTTTTTAACATCTTCACTGAGATGTAATTCAAATACCATACAGTTCACCCATTTGAAGTGGCTTTTGGTGTTTTCACATAGTTGTGCAGCCATCAGCACAGTCAGTCTTAGGACATTTTCATCACCCCCAAAAGAAACCCAGACTCACTAGCAGTCACTCTTTGTCTTTTTAGATATGCCTATTCTGGATATTTCATATAAATGGAGTTATACAATATGTGATCTTTAGTGACTTGCTTCTTTTAGGTAGCATAATGTTTTCAAGGTTCATACACTATGTAACTAGAATGTATTAGTGCTTCATTCCTTTTTATAGCTGAATATTCCAGTGTGTGGATATACTACATTTTGTTTATTCATTCATCATTTGATAGACTTTTGCATTGTTTCCACTTTTTAACTATTACGCATAATGCTGCTCTGAACATTCATCTGCACATTTTTGTGTAGACCTGTGTTTTCATTTCTCTTTGCTTATACACCTAGGTGTGGAATTAGTGGGTCATATGGTAACTTTATTTATTTATTAAACATCTTTATTGGAGTATAATTGCTTTACAATTAGTAAATTGTAAGTTTCTGCTGTATAACAAAGTGAATCAGCTATATACATATATCCCCATATCCCCTCCCTCTTGCATCTCCCTCCCACCCTCCCTATCCCACCCCTCTAGGTCATCACAAAACACATATGGTAACTTTATGTGGAGTTGCCAAACTATTTTCAGGTGATCCTTATTTTTTGAATTGATGTTTCCCCTTACTGTGTATCTCTTATTATTTTAGTCAAAATAAGATTGTGTTGGTTCTATGTTAGAACAATATTATGATATGTGACTTTTTAAAAAATAATTATAAATACACATTAGGTAAAATTTTTTTGAGAAGTTCATTGTGCCTTATGGGCATCCTTGTGACTTTGATAACCCTGTGTGTGCATTAGGAATATGAATATTTTCACATTTCCACCTAAGGAAATGGAATATGACTTTAAGGGAAAGTCATACTCTCTCCTCACTTGTGATTTATTCTGTCACATATGCCTGCAATGAGATAGAAACATCTTTTATTATCCTTAGAGAACACTAGAAGGCCTATTTTGTGTATCTATTCATTACGTATATGCCTGTGTCCCTCAAAATACTAATTATGCCCATTTCCTCCTCCCTCAAAATATGGTTTCTGTATTGTGCTACAACAAATTCTAAGAAAATATTGCTTTTTGGTTGATCTTACAGTGACATGTTTCATTGGAAGGTCTTTGAAAAGAAGTATGGACCAGTGCTGTCCAGTGAAATTTTATTTAATCCGGTATATCCAAAATACCATTTCAACATGTAATCAGTATAAAAAAATTTAATGAGATGTTTCATGTTCTTCTTTTCATACTAGTCTTCAAAATCTGGTCTGTCTTTTACACTTACAGTGTATCTCAATTTGGGGTAGCTACATTTCAGGTTCTTAATAGCTGCATATAGCTAGTGGCTACCTTATTGGACAGCACAGATACAGAGGATAGCATGAGATAATTATAACATTTTTTGGTTTGATCTAACATTTTTGATTCCAAATTATGATGAGTACAGAGTTTAGTTTAATCTAATCTCTTAACTGTGTGTGACTTTGGGAGAATCAGTTAGTCTTAGGGTTCTTTTATCTGTAAAACTAGAGGTCCTTGACATCTGCTTCATGAGTGTTGTGAAGATTAATAGGTTAATGTTAGGAAGATGCCTGGCAATTCTCTGAGCATTTATCACCTTCAGCTTTTCTTAGGGGGAGGAAGGAGATTTAATAGGATTCAGTGGAACTGATTCTCTAACTCCCTTATTTGCAGTTGGCTCTTTGTTTTTTCTCTTTGTGCATATATGTTATGTTGAACTTAAAATTAATGGGAACATTTTTAATGTAGAGAGATGTAATTGTTCATTGAAGGGCAGTTTGGGCACAGGGAATTAGTGACCCTTGTAAAGTCAGAATTTCTAAGTGTTGGAATTGAAACTGATTCCATAGCCTTCAGTCTGATAGTTATTCCTGTGTTACATTCTACCATTCTGGCTCCTCCAAAATAGGGTCATGCTAACTTCTTGAAAGGTAAAAGCATTAAAGAAGTTATATGTCAGTATCCATTTAAAATAACTTTTAGGAACTGTCAGATGACATTCAGGGTGTGGTTCCTTTTGTGCATTGTGGTAGAGGATCATCATTATTAGTTTGAGATAGTAACCATAGCTGGGTATGCACAGTGCAACACAGGAAATGGGTAGTGACCAAATTTCAAATTAAAAAAATGTGTCAGAATAAACAAATTAATCTCATCTAGCTTATGTTTTAAAAGTAGAGGGGGAATTCTCTCATAGACTTAATAATAAACCTGCATAATTTTTATAGAAGTTCTGAGGTTATCCAGGATTGAATAGAGCATGTTATGTTAGAAAAATAATTAGATCTTATAAAAACACTACTTTAAGAAAAATACCCTAAAAAATAAAAGAATACTAAAATACTACATAATTGGAAACTTGTCATTGTCCACACAGCATCAAATATGAAGTCAGCTTGAACTTCAGGAAAAAATAGTTGCTTGGTTGGCAAGAGTTTAATAAATTGATCAGCTGTTTTATTGTTTAGAAATGGCCTTGGTGATTTGTTAAACTGTACAGAGTGAAAGGCATTGTTAAGCTATTAAGTCTTGTTAACTTTTAGAGACTGACCTCTCTCATCACAAATCTTGGAACATATTTACTATACTTAAAATAACCACTGTCTGATTTTTCATATAATAGTCCAAGCATGTGACAATATGAAATATCTGATAGAAATATAGTTGGGAATTAAATAATTGTTTTTGTGCTTCCTTTCAGCTTTCCTAGTTTATAAGGCAACCCATTTCAGAATTGCTTCATTGATAATTTTCTTAGAGATATCAAGATGACATTTTTCATAGAGACTAGTATGTCACATGTGCATGTAACAAGATTGGGAAGAGTTGTAGGAGTGATTTAGCTTTAAAAGAATGAAACAACTTTAGGAAAAATGTGTAGGTAATTTTTAAACATTGATCTCTTATATCTGATAGTGGTTGTGGGTCCTTAAGATATTTTTAAATGTTTACTGGAGCAGCATCCATCTACTTGAGGCCTATAATGGTGAAATGAGAGCTTGTCAAATCTAACCTTGAACAATGATTGTGATACTCACTGGTTTAGTTTTGGAACAGAGCAGAAGTCTGATTAAAGGGAACTAACTTCTTAAGCATCTACTGTATTTGCTTTTAATTGTATTCTCATTTCTCTCAGTCATGTAAGTAGGAAGTATTATGTAAAGAAAAAAATTCTAGAGTTAAGTGACATAATAGCGTAACATTCAAGGGAATGGTCTTAACTCAGGAATGTCAAAGTGAAGT